TGATTACGATAACTGCATATAGCTTTACCGACGTCATGGGCCCATATCTGAAAACAACATTCACTACACGTGATGGGAACTCACGCAAACATATGGACACATGTCTACTATATTATTGGTTCATTACTTTTCAGCAGGTGCTGAAAATATCTTATTTCAGCGTATAGAATTATTCTTTAAATAAATATTTGAGTTTAAATTTCACATTGTGTATGCATCAACTCATTAATCAGCGATAAATTCTTAAATGTAACTTAGATCTATAACAATGAATTAATTCTTGACTTGTTGAGTTGGGCGATACCGTGAATGTTTTTATTTTTTTTGTTTTCTAGTTTTCTAATGTATACATGAAATCCAACTTAGAATGAGCTATATGGTTATATGATTATTCCTTAGCTGTTTAACTTGGGAATGTTGGGTTTGAGTTTTGACTTTTCAACATGTATATATAGAAGAATATTTACTTGTTTGGATTGATTTTTTTTTAAAATACTATTTTATTTTAAAAAATTAATTATATATCTTTTAAAAAGTCAACAATGTGTTACTTTTTAAAAAAATAAAAAAAAAATAATTTTTATCAATAAAAAATCTTTTTAAATAAGACATGAATAAAAAAAAACTTTTTTTAAAAGTCAATCTAAGCTGATCATATATCGTGTTTAAGTCTAAGGATACATTTTTATTTTAATTTTAGAATAAAACAATAAAAACTTAAAAGTTTTAATAAATTTAAGCTTTATTTGAGAATTTTATTATTTTCTAGAAAGAACTTATTTATAGATTTCTATTAACCCATTAAAATTTCTAATGTATAACTCTGAACTCTCTATTTGCTATTTAGTACAAAGTTATAATTATAATATCAAATTACAGCATCCAGTATATTCATAAATAAATAAATAAATAGTTAAAAATAAATAAAAAGATTATTTATATAACCACACACAACCCTCTTCTAAAATTTAGATTTTGAATCATTTGAGTCCAATGTAATGTATTTTTTGGGCTTCCCTTTATCACACATAACAAAAAAAAATAAAAGAGGGGTGCGCTGGGCATTATAGTACACCCACAAACTTTTGCAAGGATAATTCAGACATTTTAGAATTCACTGCAAGACAAAATGTTAAGGGATAATTGTAAATGCCTATCATATCATGTTCCGTTACTATGGACCTAAACATGGGAAAATCTTCCTAAAGTTTATTAAAAATATATAAAAATTTAGGTCTATATTTAGTTTTAATTTTCATAGATATAACAGTAAAATTAGTTTTATACCAAAAAACTTCTATATCTATTTTTATTGAGATCTTTATCTTATAACGTTTCCTAATTCATTTATAATTGCGTAAATATCCTTCCAGATTTTTAAGTTTTTTTTTTTTAAAAAAAATTTGGACTTAGCGCTTCTTAATAAATTGAAACTATAAGGGGTGCTTAAATAATTAAGAAATGAGACAAATCGATCACCGACATGCCATATTATAATTTATTCTCAGGTGATTTTAAGAGTCGATTTGTACCATTCAATGATCGATTTATTTCATTTTTTAATTACTTAGAGGTAGTTTCAGAAATTTCAATTCATTAAGAGACGTAAAATTCAAAAAAAAAACTTCACATATCACGGGAAGGGTATTTATTTTTATTATTATTATTATTTTGAGAAGAGTATTTACTCTTTATAATTTTATATTGTTTTCACATCTACCAAATCTTGACGATGACATGGGACAAAATATAATCTTTTATTGAAATATATAATGGAAATTTCACTCTCAACATTGGACGAAGCCGAACTATTTCAACTCAATCTTCTAACTTCTTTTCAATTGTATTTATTGATTGATCCCAAACGAACAATAAAAATAGTAAAATAGTAAAATTGTATTTATGATATTATATTATATATTTAAATTACCACTTACCACCCAAACGAACAATAAAAATAGTAAAATACTTGTATTACCTGATGTGGTCCACATGAGATTTATGAGTGAAGTGGGAAAATGTGATGAAAAGTCGTATAGCTAGCTAGGCTAGCCATTTTTATATGCTATACATTACTATTTACAATAATATTTTTCCAGTTATATGGTATGATGTGCATTAATTTTTGAACTAGTAAATTCAGTATGTGTTGAAATCTTGCAAAGCTAGATTCAATTCCCTATAAAGGAATTTTTGTCCCAATCAGTAGATGCTAACTTTATGAAGGCTATTATTCAATTCAATTCAATTTCATTCCTTAGTCTTATGGTTTAGTGGACCTTATGTGGTTCAGCTCTATTTGTAACATGTGTATATTTATATAAAGATACAAAGCAATAATAGTACTTTGCCTCATAAAATTATTAGTAATGAAAAAAATAAAGAAGAAAAAGTTAATAACCAATCACAGAATGCATGCTTCATGTGATGATGATACATTATGCCTATGCCTTTGAAGACAAAACATTTGTGACAACAATAACATTTGGCTTCTTCCTTGAATTGTGATTATTTAATTTATCTATCTTATTAGCTTAGGTTTAAAGTTCAATTGCAGGCTGAGCCAACTTTGTTTATTTATTTTTAATGATGATTTCAAGAATATAAACTCGGATTGGTTTTACGAAAAATGCTTCTGATACTATACTCTTTTTATTAATAATAATTTTTTGTAATAAATAAAATTATATTAGTAGTAAAAAATATTATTAAATATGTAATATATATAATTAATATTATATAATTATATTCTCAGAAATTAATATGTAGGTTAACGACTTTATGAGCTAATTAGACCCCATGCTTTTTGGTAACCTTTTAGGCAAGTAACAATGAATTTTGGTTTTACTTTTTCTGCCTCTCCCTTTTGCAAAAGGCTTGTTTTAGCATTTAGATCTTCAACACATCATTTCTTGATCATCCATCCATCATCACCACCTTAATTTGTTCTAGAAAATTAAGTTAAAAGTCTTTGTTATGTATTGAATTATAGTGTGCGTTGGTTCTCCTTTTTGTCATTACCTTCTCCATATTTGCCATTAAATGTATCCGTGAATTTTTTTTTTTTTTAAGAAAATCTTGAAAGTCTTAGGTAGGGAATCAATATCAATTTTTTTTTTTTTTACCACTCATTATTTTTTTAATTACACTCATGGGCTCTATAACGTTGGTTCCCTAGCATTACTCTTTTTTTTTTTATGTGACAATCTGTGATTTTATTTGTAAACCTGTTTCGTGCATTCTTTATTAATTAATTCAATAATGTTAGGTAATCAACAAAAAAAATTCAGTTAATATCGTTAACAACTTAAATTGAATATTATATTTCTTTAAATTTTTGATGTTTTGTTTTCAAAAAATACAAAGTTGATTAATTATTAGTTATTTTAGATTTCAGATGTTCTATAATTTTCATTGTGGACATTATATAAATAAAAATTATAAATATTCTATTTTTTATTGACTAATTTATTGATTAAAAAAATATTAATTACTTATAATTTTTTCTAAATAATTTGCTTTACATATATCTCAAGGACGATAAGCCCATAAAGTATTCCTTTCGAATATGAGTAGTTTAACTTTAACTAACCTTTTTCGGCTTTGTTTTGTTCATTTCTTTAAAAAAATAAACGTTATTTTCACATAATACTTATCATAAAAAATCGTGATAATATACTTATATTACTTTATATATCATATATCACATATTGTTATTTAGCTGGAAGGTGTGCATCATTATAGCCTTAAAGGGCAGGGATGAAGATAAGTAAGTATTGCCATGATAATGACTCTACTTTTTTCATTTCTATCACTAGCTTGATTGTCTGCCACATTATCTTTATATTATACTTTAGGATGTATAAAAAATATTGATGTTATAATATTTTTAACCCTTATTTCAATTAAGGAATATATATAAATTAAGAACAATGACCAAAATTATTAAAGTGTCAATATTTCTAATATATTTAAAATTTTTCGTACTTTAAATTTGTCCAGTTATATTGATGCGTAACTTATTCCAATAGTATAGAGAATGATTTTTTTTTTCAATAAATTTTAACTCTATTTGAGAATTTATCGTTAGTTAATAGATTGTATATACACAGTGAAATTTAAATAATTTTTCATAAACAACCAAGTGAATTTTTTTGTGATTTATATAGGTAGGTATCAAATCCAAAACATTGAAAAAGAGAAATTCTAGCAACTAATGTAGGCAACAACCAAGTGAGTTTGCCATATCGGTAGATTATTTTGAGTTTTGCATTTGACACTAACTCATATATTTTGTTGTAACATAACATGTTTCGAATCCAGAATAGCAGAAAAGAGGATAATACTAACTCATATAGCATTACACTTTACACATTTACCTTTGAATTTCAGAATATATAATTAATTAATTATATACATCTACAAACTAAGACAAATTATATTAATGTTTTCAGAAATTAGGTTCTCTCTCATCTTTGAATTAATGACCAACTTTATTAGTACCTAACATTGCAAATGTAGCCGGCATCTATCACCATAACACACAGATAATAACTAGAAGAAAAAAAAATTCAATGGGGTTAAGATTATTCTATATTATCTGCTATCTTTTTAAAAAAAAAGTTTGGTCAAAGCAAAGCCAAGTAATTTCAAGTCTATTAAAAAATTGTGTAGTCTTCTTTCTATAATCACATCATTGATTCATTGTATTATTTATACAGAAAATGAGGTATATTATATATATTTTTTTAAAAAAAATATCACCCTTTCTAATGCAATGATAAATTGATTACATTTGAATAAAAAATCTTTCTTGAAGTAATCCTTTCAATAAACAATTATTTATGAAATCATTCTTAAGAGCAACATCACATTGCTGCAATTTCAAGATGTTGACATATAAGCAGTAATTACGTTAATTAATCCTGCAAAAGAATCAAAGAATTAGGAAACTATAACACCTAGAAACAGAAAAATATCAAAAATAATAAATTAAAAAACGCTAGATGGTGGGCTTGAACCTCAAGACCTTGTGGTTAAGGACCACACTCTCTAACCAACTGAGCTATTCCAGCTTCTTGGAAAATTATCTCATAAATAATATTGATAACCGCATCAAATAAAACAAAACAAAGAAAGTAAAAACCGAATTGAAAAATCGATGAACTGAAATACCAACGACAAAACGGCTCCCACAGTCTCTCATTCTCTTCTCTCTTTCAGTTTCCTTCTTCCTTCTCCCTTCTCTCCCTCTCTACAGAAAACACCAATTCAAGAATTGTATTTATATATTTATATATACACACACATAACCTCACACCAAAAACAACAACCACATTTCACATTACATGCACCAAACAATAACAACACCACCTTCTTCTACATGGCGGGTCTTTACTCTTCTTCGTACAGACCCTCCTCTTCTTCTTCTTTTTCGTCGTCGTCATCGTCTTCGAGGCTTCTCCTCTTGCTGACCGTGCTTCCACTCACCTTAGCTTCCTTCGCCTTCGTTCTCCAATGGCGTGGCGGAGTCACCGACCCTCTCTCCCGTTGGTCCCCTGATCAGCCTGAGTTTCCCGGTATGTCTTCCGCCGCCGACGGAGGATCCAACTCCCATCGCGACGGAACCTCCCACCTCCAAAGCACGAGCTCCGACTGCGCCTCCATCCTCCTTGGCCACACCTCCAATAACCACCCTTCGTTCCCTTACTTCCGTGACTGGAAGCTCGATTACTCCTCCGATCTCAGGCCCAAGGTTTCAATTCGAGATCCAAATCCATCGTCGTTTTTCTTTGTTCTGTTCTGCGTTTTGGCCTCAATTGTGATCGTTGCTTTGGATCTGCATAAACCCCCTTTGGCAGATTGACTTTTGAATTTTGAATTTTCCGTGTCATCAATTCATGATTTGTATGCTGCTTGATTGATTCATTAAGAGTGTTAAACTTAAACCCGTTGATGATGTTGCAGATATGCATAACAACGAGTACTTCAGCTGGTTTGGAACAGACTCTGCCATGGATCTTCTATCACAAGGTCATTGGAGTTTCCTCTTTCCTCCTTTTCGTGGAAGGGAAGGCTGCATCGCCTAATGTATCTAGAGTCCTCGAAACCATTCCCGTGAGTTCAAGCAATCCCTACCCTACAACATTTTCGATCATTATCATTAACTTATTTAATTTAATTAGTACTGTTGCTGCAGTAATCAATTGATTATGATTATGGTTATGGCTGTTAAATTATGTTTTGAACCTTTGTGATGCTCAATTGAAACGCCTTTTTTTTTTTTTTTTTGTTTCAGGGGGTTAAAGTTATATACAGAACTAGAGAGTTAGAAGAACAACAAGCTAAAAGGTATGCGTGTTCTATACTTTAGAACTTTTTTTCCCTTGTCATTTCTTGGTGTAATCAGTTTTCTCTTTCTTATTAAATGGCCTTTTTCCCCTTTTGTTGAGCTGATGACTGTTTAACAGTCATCATGATTGAAACAAAACGTAAAGAACACGAAGTTTTGAACTCTTCTTCTGTGATTTAATTGAGGAAGTTATTGAGCATCATTGACCATGTAGACTTAAAAGCTAGCGTTTCTTATTGGGTTTAACCTTTGACATGTTTTATCTAGTCAGATAAATGTAACAGTTTGGTAGTTCCTATTGGAAAATTAAATGGTTGATCAATGCATTAAAAAATTTAAAAGCTTCATAGGTAACGCCAATAAGTGTCATAAGCCATATACTAATATTTGTGAGCCAAACCCAAAGTAATAGTAATATTTCTGGTTTGTTATTGTGAGCTAGTGGTTACTTGTCCTAAATGCAAAATGTTCCTATCTATTGTCGCCCCACAAATACAACCAGACTGCTTTATTATGGAATTCTAAATTGTGATATATACTGGTCATTTAAGTGTAGGTTCTGTAGATTCTGATATCCTTATTGTTTATGCCCATGGTATTCTACTTTTTAAATAATGTGCCATATCTTTTACAATCTCTGTGTTACCAAGTATTTTGTTACCTACCAGTCGAATATGGAATGAGACTTGGTTGGCTAGCTTCTTCTACAAACCATGCAATTACGAGTTGTTTGTGAAGCAATCTTTGAACATGGAAATGGCTATTGTCATGGCAAGGGTATGGTTTGTTTTCCTTGTGATAAATTATTATCTCTGTATATGATATTAATCCCTTAAAGGTCTTACCTTTTCCACCCTTTACAATGCTCTTATATTCAGGAGTCTGGAATGGACTGGATCATTCATTTGGACACTGATGAGCTAGTATATCCAGCAGGAACACGGGAGTACTCTTTAAGACAGTTGCTATCTGATGTTCCTGGAAACGTTGATATGGTTATTTTTCCAAATTATGTGAGTGCATGTGTTTTATTTATGATTCTGATATCACTATCATTCAACATATTTAGATGATCACACTCTGTTCTTTTGCTGGAATGTTGTTTCGTTCAGGAGAGCAGTGTTGAGCGAGATGATATCAAGGAGCCTTTCAGTGAGGTATTTACATAGATAGCTTTTGTATGCTTTTGAACATATAATTGAATCTTTCTGCTTGTAAAATTAGGTTTTTTTTTTTTTAATCCAGCACGCATTTAACATGTAAACGTAAATCCAATCCAGATTTTACTTTGTAGCCTTTCTATTGCCAGAGATCGTTTTGTTTCAACTTTGTGTGTCCCAAATGGAAACAAGTAATATTTGACATATTTAACTTATGTTT